ATTCTCAAATACTGTGGCTTATTGAACAATGTCTTGCACTGCCAAAGAGTGGAAAAAAAATGTAGGTTTGAAAATGTGAATAATAGTGCAGCTCATTGGAAAGCCAAATTCTATGCAGTTCTTTAAGAGAGAAAGATACAATCTACAGTCTCAAAAATGCAGAAGGAATCTCAATATTCCTCCCCACTATGCCCATATTTTAAAGAGAAGAAAACTGAAGCGAAATAGAACAATCTTTTGGGAACCCCAAATGGGGCTGAAGATTCTGTCCAAATTGTAGTTCTGAGTCTCAGACTCCCAGGTAAACTCTTTCAACAGACAATGACCTCTCCAGAAGTAGATGTTTCCAAGTACTCTGGCTCAAAAAATAAAATGACCTTATACCTTGAGCTCTGTTCTTCCTCGAAGCTCCACTTCATAGCCCTCACTCAGATTTCGAAGAATTGTAACAGTGCTAAGACTGACATGAATGCGGTAAGCTGTAAAAGAAAGAGATACGTAATTTTGGCTCCTTTCTCATTGGTAAAATTAAAAAGAAAATATCAATGTAATAAATGTCTTCACTTGTAAATGAACTGGACCATTAGCAATGTCCTGAGAGAGGTTTACTTAGGGTTTCACAGGAGGAGGACGGGGAGTCATGGCTTTCCTCACCAGGACCAAATAAGGCATTCATTGTAGCACCTATCAGCCTCCTAGAAACAATCTCAGATGAAAGGCCATGCAATAGAAAGGTGTTAATTTAACTCAAAGGTTGAGATGGAGGAACCAGCATCCACTGTGCCCTCAGCTGAAACGTGACCTCATTTGAAGAAAGTTTGACTTCAGCAGCTTATTTCACAGGCTGCTGCTATGGCTGAACTCTCACGCTTTACATATCTTTTTTAAAAAAATTTTTAATGGCATTTTAGGTTTTGGGGTACATGTGAAGAACATGCAAGATTGTTGCATAGGTACACACATGGCAGTGTGATTTGCTGCCTTCTTCCCCATCACCTGTATCAGGCATATCTCCCCCATGCTCTCTCTCCCCAACTCCCCACCCCCTGCCTGTCCCTCCCCTATTTCCCCCCGACAGATCCCAGTGTGTGATACTCCCCTCCCTGTGTTCATGTGTTCTCATTGTTCAACACCCACCTATGAGTGAGAACATGTGGTGTTTGATTTTCTGTTCCTGTGTCAGCTTGCTGAGAATGATGGCTTCCAGGTTCATCCATGTCCCTACAAAGGACACGAACTCATTGTTTTTTATGGCTGCATAGTATTCCATGGTGTATATATGCCACATTTTCCCTGTCCAGTCTATCATCAGTGGGCATTTGGGTTGGTTCCAAGTCTTTGCTATTGTAAACAGTGCTGCAATGAACATTCGTGTGCACGTGTCCTTATAGTAGAACGATTTATAGTCCTTTGGATATATACCCAGTAATGGGATTGCTGGGTCAAATGAAATTTCTATTTCTAGGTCCTTGAGGAATCGCCACACTGTCTTCCACAATGCTTAAACTAATTTACACTCCCACCAACAGCGTAAAAGTGTTCTTATTTCTCCACATCCTCTCCAGCATCTGTTGTCTTCAGATTTTTTAATGATTGCCATTCTAACTGGCATGAGATGGTATCTCAATGTAGTTTTGATTTACATTTATCTAATGACCAGTGATGATGAGCATTTTTTCATATGTCTGTTGGCCTCATATATGTCTTCTTTTGTAAAGTGTCTGTTCATATCCTTCGCCCACTTTTGAATGGGTTTGTTTGTTTTTTTCTTGTAAATCTGTTTTAGTTCTTTGTAGATTCTGGATAATAGCCCTTTGTCGGGTTTGTAGATTGCAAAAATTTTTTCCCATTCTCTTGGTTGCCGGTTCACTCTAATAACTGTTTCTTTTGCTGTGAAGAAGCTCTGGAGTTTGATTAGGCCCCATTTGTCTATTTTGGCTTTTATTGCCAATGCTTTTGGTGTTTTTGTCATGAAGTCCTTGCCTATGCCTATGTCCTGAATGGTTTTGCCTAGATTTTCTTCTAGGATTTTTATGGTGTTAGGTCTTATGTTTAAGTCTTTAATCCATCTGGAGTTAATTTTAGTGTAAGGTGTCAGGAAGGGGTCCAGTTTCTGCTTTCTGCACATGGCTAGCCAGTTTTCCCAACACCATTTATTAAGCAGGGAATCCTTTCCCCATTGCTTGTTTTTGTCAGGTTTGTCAAAGATCAGATGGTTGTAGATGTGTGGTGTTGCCTCCGAGGCCTCTGTTCTGTTCCATTGGCCTATGTCTCTGTTTTGGTACTAGTATCATGCTGTTTTGATTACTGTAGCCTTGTAGTATAGTTTGAAGTCAGATAGTGTGATGCCTCCAGCTTTGTTCTTTTTGCTTAGAACTGACTTGGCTATGCAGGCTCTCTTTTGGTTCCATATGAAGTTTAAGGTGGTTTTTACATATCTTAAGAGGCTAAAGGATGTCTTTTCCATATCCATTATTACAACTGTATCTCAATATTACTGTACTTAAAAATAAAACATCAATGAGAAATATCACAATAACTCTTTCAACAAATATTTTTTAAAGACTGTACATTTATAGCTGATCTTTGGGTGAAGGCACCTAGCTGTATACACACATGAATGTCCTATTTTCCTACCAATGATCTCAATCTGGAATAAGAGGTCTACATGGGGAACTACCACATTAAAATTCTATTTAGAACCTAAGAGTAGTTACTTGATGAAGAATAATCACTTATTAACTCAGGTAAGATCCTCGACCTTTCTAAAAACTGTCACCCTATGAAGTGAGAGCTTGTTGAGGCTGAGTCTTAAATAAAGTCCAAGACTAATTTTCACATATGCTTGAGAAAATCTTTTTTTTTTAATGCTGATTACAACCTGAGTAGGAAGGAATGTCTGGAGAGAACTGCAAGAAGTTTCTTCTGTGTATACTCACAATGACTTTGTTTCTCTCGATAGCTCAGTACTGTTGTTTGTTTCTGTCTTCCTCATTAACTCATGGTCACCCAAAGCCCTTACTCAAAAAGGGTTGTACTCTTTCTAAAATACACATGCCCAGCCAGTATATTCCTAGCCAGTCCTACATGTGCATCTCACAAATACCTAGTCTTCAGGGAGCCTTTCAGTAGCATAATCCTGATGATAAGGAACACACAGCTTAAAAGAGAGATAGATCATTCCAACCACCATCCACTTGCATGGTAAGGAGAATCACTCCAGGGCTGGATCACGAGTCACTTCCATTCCAGAGTCTCAGTGGTTTCAAATGAGCACAAAGGAGATATTTATGAAATAATTTTTTAATTAATAGACTTGTGACATGTCCTGATTTCATATCCAATGTGAAGAGAGGCTACCTCTCTACAGATCTCCATTCATTGTAGAATTTAATGTCATATTTGGGTCATAGTCACTAGCTTTTAGAAAAGTACATAAACCAGCTCCTTTAGCACAGAGATAATGTGTGTGCACTTCTTTGTATGCTTCACAATAACTTCCTTGCACAGTCAATGCTTAATAAACACTTGCTGTGGGTGATTCACTATATTGTTTTCTTCCTAGCTGATCATTGGACAAGGTGCTGTCTAAATCTCAAAATTCAATTTCTGCTCTCAACTTTGTATTTCCAATGTGAAATGTGTGGAGTCTTTCCTGGTTCAGATCAGAATATGACTTCAGCCTTCTACAAGCTTATATCAGTCCAGAGTACAGTGCCAAATCTGCATTGCAGTTCCATGATCAATTTCACTTCATCTTGGGTTGCACTCCAAGAGCAAAGTCATATGCAAAGTCATATTCATGCAGCAATTCCTGGATGACTACTTCCATGGCCTCTGCCATATCTAAGGAGTTTGAAGACTTTACCAGATGTCAGAAAATTTATTCTGACAACAGCTTCTAAGTTCCATACTGCCTCCTTAATCATGGCTGCACAGGCTAGATTGACTAAGACTGGACCCATTGTGTAAGCCTGTTTCTACACATGAGTGATGGGGAGTGGGGTCAGACAGGGCACCACCCACTGTGATACAGGCCACCATAACATCAGGGACTAGTTTGAGTTTATTGCTGAAGTTTGGGAAGAACTTATCTTGCCAGAGCCAGAGCTTCTAAGGGCTTAAGTGGTTTTTTCCCTTCTTTTGGTGTAAAATCCATGAAAACCACACATAGAATTTAATGTAATTCTCTATGTTTTTCCTATAATAGCATTAAAAAATGCTTGGCTCAACCATGATATAAGCAAAAGGCACATTGTGATTCTGTAGTGGCAGTAAATAACCAAGAAAGAGTTGAGCCAGCATCTTACAAATAACAGACAAATGGCATATGGTTTGTATAGTTTTCTTCCCAAAGAAGCAGAGAATAAATGGTATCTCTGATACTATGTGTATTTTGATAGAAGCTAAGGGATTTATATACAGGGAAGTTGCAATAAATTATTTTAGAATTCCAAGTTCCTTGGATTGAGGGATTATTGCTAGCTAAGTTCTAGAGGGCCATTTGATGAAGCCAGAACTACTGGGGTCCTAAGTGGTTCAAAAAGGGGACGGCAACAGCAAACAACAGCCAACTGGGAGGCAGCTGGCTTCAGTGTGTCTTACACACTAGTTGAAAATGGAGAATGTCAGTCCCTTCTGTAGTTCTTTTCTCAACATGACTCTCACAAACCCACAAGCCCAGCCAATTTTTTCTTTACCCAAAATATTATTTTAGTTGTTTTTTTCAAATTGACTGGCTGTTTCGGTATCACTAAGCTACAGCTTCATTTCTAGAACAAGAAAGGTACATGTTCAGTCCAACATCACCCCCTACTGGTTTGCCATTAGAGACCAGGAAAATGTGTGATAAATCGCACTAATCTTCTCAAATTATGTTTTATTTTTCTTTAAAACATTAAAACATTAAGTATCCTGCTCTCTTTCACCTCTCTGAAGAAGAATCACCTTCTCAATAGTAGGATGGTGCCATTCTATCCATCCCTCTGTTAGGTACTCACGTAAGCCTGTTGATTCCATCCGAGAAGCTGTGTTCACAGTGTCTCCAAACAAGCAGTATCTGGGCATGGTGAGGCCCACCACTCCAGCAACAACCGGCCCTATAGAGTAGTAGGGGGTTGAAATTACAGTCAATAGGTATGCACCTAATGCTAATAGAGGAATGCTGCAAAGAGGAAGGAATATATCTTTGTAAAAGAATAAAAGTTGTCATCATATAGCTCTGGGAATCTGAAGAAAGATATAATGAGTAATGAACTATTTTCCCCACAAGAAAGCAAATTAATAACAATGCAGACATGACTATGCTTCTCATTTATATCTTGCTCCAAGTAACAGTTACACCAGAGGTGCTTATATTTGTCAACAGGGACAAATAAGTATCAAACCCAAACCAGAAAAGCCTGGGCAGGGACTCAGGGCCCAAACATGTTTGCTGTAAGGAAAAAAATGGGACTCTTTCTTGTGCCTTAAGATTGGAAGAAAGGTTTTCATGACTTTATCTGGCTCCCAAACTGTGTCTATAAAGATAATTATTCTAAAACATTTCAAAAAATCTGAAAACAAATACAGTTGACTTTCAGTTATCTGTGTTAGGGCATGGAAAAGCAGTATGTATAAATAATCAAAGAACATTTTGCTTTTAGAATTTTTTTGTTCTTACATTTTAATATGACTGTTTTACGTGTTCAAGGTAATTGAGAAAACTTCAGCAGCTATACTGAAAAGTCAGTTTGGGACTATCCAGAAAGTTCTTCACCTTAACCTTTCTGGTTTCTGCTCTGATTTTTTTTTCTCTAAAAAGAGATGGGAGTCTCACTATATTGCCCAGGCTGGTATTGAACTCCTGAACTCAAGCAATCCTCCCATCTCAGCCTCCCAAAGTACTGGGATTACAGGCGTGAGCCATTGTGCCTGGCCTTCTGCTCTGTTTTTACAGTTAATTTTCAGAACTATCTTTTTGCTGTTTCCTCAGTTAAAGAAAGCAAGTGTTTTGCTTCAAAAGCTGTTTTCTGCTGTAAATAAAAATAAACAAGAAATATAAAACTTATATTTCTCATTTTAATTCACTTCTCGCTCATTCAGAAGCATCAACTGAGCACTGAGCTAGGCACCAAGGGGAATAAAAAGTAAATTTAACACACAGTCTTAGTTCTCCAGGAATTTATACTCTAATTGAAAAGAAGATACTATCAAAGAGGAAGCAATTAAGCAGTAACCCAAGACAACATATGGCTGAGGCAAGATACATAGCACACACAGAAGTGCTATAATAATTTAGAAAATGGGAGGAGGTGCTTATTAGGACCTTCCACAATCAAGAAGCGTCCATTGGAGAAGGCAGGATTTAATCTAGGTCTTGATGGGTGAGTAGAAGTTGAATAGTTGAAAAGGGACATAAATCAAAGGCTTGTGGTTGGGATTGAACATGGAATTTAGGAAAGCTCTTAAAGTGAACAGTCTGCCTAGTTCACATGGCTGGGGAGAAACTGGAGACAAGGTTGGATTAAGTGGGTTGTACAAGATGGAGAATCTTAAACCACTAGAGAACATTGAGGAAGGAATTACATGATCTTTTTTTTTTTTCAGATCAGTGTATAAAATGCATTGAAAGGGGAAAAAGTAAAACCATGGAAACCCTTTAGATGGCTGCTGCAGTAATCCAAGCACAAGGTACTGAGAAGGAGGTGATGATAGGGAGTGGATGGCCATGAAGAAATAATAAGAAAGACATAAAAGAACCAACAGACTTGTTGGCTCTCTGATTGACAACCATGAGAAAATTGGCATGGGCTTGTGAGTTTATGCTGATTTGTGGGAAAAGATGACTTGAAGTTTAAAATATGTTAAATTTGAAATAATGGTGAATCCTTCAAGAAGAGGTACACTGAAGGGAGTTGGAAATGTGAAACTGAAGCACAAATGACAGATGAGGGCTTTTCTCTAAAAGAAAAAAATCAAACATCTGCTATGTGCTATATAAACATGAGTAAGATAATATAAACATGAGTAAGATATGGTTCCTGCCACTAAGGAGCTTAAAGTCTAATGAAAGGACAGACAAGGAAACACAGATTACTCTGATGACTATGAGAAAGATGGATGGTAAGAGGCAAGAGTAAGAAGATAGTAATGCAGTGATCCAGGCAAGAGATGTGGTGTCCTGGGCTTCGCTTGTGAGAATGAATAAGAGACAAGAGAGATCAATAAATATTTAAAAGGTAAAGTGTTCAAGCCTTAGTAATTAGTTGAATGTTAAAGGTCAGAGTAAGGGAAAAGTCAAAGAGTATGACTCCCAAGACTAACTGGAGTAACTAGGTCCATGGTGGTACCATCAACTGAAATAGAGAATAAATATAAGAATAACAGGAAGTTTGTATGGGTAAAAAATATTCTGTTTTAGATGTGTCGAGCCTAAGGTCCATATGGAACATTCAGAGGTGGATATATCAGCAGGAAGTTTGATATATAAGGCTGAAGCTTAAGGCAGAAGACTGCACTAAAGCTGTAGAGTTGGAAGTCATCAGCATACAAGAGGTAGTTAAACCACAGACATGAATGAGATCACCTATTAGAGTACGTAGGAGGAGAAAAACAGTGAATCATGACAGAACATTGGGGAATACCAATATAAGGGACAAATAGAGACAAAAGGAATGATCAGACAATGAACGATTGCTGTGGGTTGAGTAATAAATTAGAAGTGAGACATGCAGACAGCAAAGAGATCACGAGACAGAGAGCTTTACAGAAAATGTTAGACAACAGGAAGAGTCAAGAGAACCATTAAATAAAATGAAAAGAGGCATTCACAGAGTAAGGAGCATGTTTTAAAAGCCAGTTAAGGAACGTTTTAGGGAGGCTTGTCATGAATGCCAGATGCTGGACTGGGGAAAGTGGCAAGAACTGAAGTCAGATTGCAAAGGGGCTAAGGAGGGAGTGGACAGTGAAGTAATGGCACAGTAGATGTCATTCATTTTTTAAAGAAGTTTGGTAGGAAAGGGGTGAAAAGTGTAAGGGAAGAAAAGCAGCCTAGAAGAGCAGAGGAAGAGGAAAAGTTGGGGAGTGGATACAGAAGCAAGAGAAGCTAGCAGGTAATGAATGTGGAAGGAAAATAGTTCAGAAGTTGGGATTTTAACTAATTAAATGAATTATCCTAACTATAACATATACCTGCTGATCTTGTAGCATAGTCAAAGATGGAAATATTGGCTCTAACCAAAATGGTAGACTAAAAGGGTTTAGTGCCTGGAACAAGGAGCTGCTGCCCACTGCGTTAGTGCAGGTACTGGAAAGAGAGTAAACTTGGGTAGTCATAGAGGACACTGGATGCAGCCCTGGACACCTGGATAATCCATTGGCCAGGAATCAGGAGAGAGCTACCTTTTTCCCTTGCTTTTTTAGCCTTTCTAGAGGCGTATAAGAATGTTTCCTCTTGCTTTAACTGGTTATTACCTGAGTGCAGGCCAATTCGAATTCGGACTGGCACCTCTGGCATGTGCCGCATCTTGAAAGTGCCCACAGAGCTCAGGATATCTAAGGACATGTTTGCAATCTCAGCTGCATGCCTACTGCCATTCCTCTTTGGGAGGCCTGAGGCCACCATGTAAGCATCTCCAATGGTCTCTACCTGGGAATTAGGAAAAACAGAATTAGCAAGGAACTTATTTGTCCTTCTTTTTTTTTTTTTTTTTTTTTTTTTTTTTCCACAGAGCTGTAAGGGTATGATGGAGGCCAGGTGGTTTTCTTGTAAAGTGAGAAAGGCAGAGAGGGGCTGTCAATGGTCCACAAGCCTGGCTGCATGTTAGAATTGCTTAAGGAGCTTTAAAAATACTGAAGTCTAGACCCCACACCAAGAGATTCTGAAATAAGTATAGCTATCTCACAGGCACATGATTGACCTTAGAAAAATATCAAGCTCAGAGACATTTGTGGGGAAGAGAAAGGGGAGATTTCTGGAACTGTCCCTAGGGTGTCCATGGGGGAGCATCTTAGGAGAAGGTGCCTATGATGCTCCCCAGCAAACATTTCTATAGATTATTTGGGGTAAATAAGCTAGGGCAGCCTTAAGGCAAATATAGAGAAAGGAGAAGGAAGAACAAGCCTGTTGCCTCTGCTTTTCCTTGCTAACATGATGAAGTTAGTTTTGCAGGCCTATTGGATATGAGAACTGAATCTTCCCACCAGTTACCTCCTCCTCTCCTACCGCTGCCTCCCTGAGGAGCAGCAGTACTGGCCCTCAATAGCTTTGCAGGGGATGGTTAGAGCTAGACACTTGGAAATAAAGGCAAACCTATGCTCCTCACCTTCCCCACAGAAGTGTGCTCATTCTTGTAGATAACTAGTAAGTTGAAACTTTTTGGGTAAATCCAAAAGATAACTAAGCTGAAAGAACTTTTGATGAAATGTGCCAGTCATACTGTGCTACTACAAGTTTGAATCCAGTTTAAACCCATGTTTTCCTAGAGAACTGCACTTGCAGAATACAACAGCTAAGAACATGAAACTCTGGTTATACTATCTTGGTTAGCATCTAAGATTCAACGCTTACAAACTGTGTGGCCACGGGCAAATCACTTAATGTCTCTGTACTTCAGTATCCTTATTTGTAAGATAGTGATAATGATAGTAAAAACTTCAAAGGGTTTTCAAGGCCTAAATAATTTAATATATGTCAAGGCATTTAAAACCTGCCTATTGGATGATAATATATATTTAGTTCAAGCTATCACCATCATCATCATCATCATCACCATCAAATCAGTACATTTTGAAACCACCCTTGGAACTGTGGGTATGATTCAGCTCCAGAGAAAGAAGTTTAGCAATCAGCAATAGGCTCCTCATCATGAATTTCTATAGCCAATAACAATGATCCTATCAATCTATAGGACTGTCTGCTTCAACATGTTTCCATCCAAGTTGTCCCTTACCATGTGCAATTTGAGGAAAGGATCCCTGCCCTCAGATAGGCATGCCAGCCTGCACACAGGAAGGAAAGATTACAATGCAAATGCTATATGGAAGGGGAAAGTCAGTGGCTGGACATTATCAGAGATTAGTGATCGACCCTTTAGCTTTGATGAGTCAGTCACCCAGGAGTCCCTAAGGATATGGATGAGAAGATTAGAAGAGCAGGCAGCATGGGCATGCATGCTTGTGTGTGCAGACTGCTGTGGAAAATTGTGAGTTTTATCAGCCAACATAAGGATGCTGAAAGGGAAAAGGAGGTTTAGAAAGTCGTGCAGCTGAGATGCAGATAGTGGCAGAATAACTGAAACTGAATCACTATCTTCATAATTCTACAGTAGCCTTCTCACTTCCATTTCAGATTATCAAGTAGCAGAGGAGGTGATTCACATTTTACAGGTAAAGGAAATGAAAATACAAATGAGTTTGATCATTTGCTGCTGGTTCATTTTTATTTCCTTTGCTCTGTGTTGTTTTTAATAAACAGGGATGAAAAAATAAATTTCACTTTTGGATTCGTATAGCCCTGCTCTGTTCTGAGAACAGCCCATTAACCTACTGCAACCATTACTACCAAAATATCTAATGGCCTTATTACTAAGACCCCCAACAATTGTCTGAACAGAATCAGCTGGATTGATTAAACCAGTAGCTGTGTTACAGCCCACGCTGAATCATCTTTGATTTTAGTTTCAACTGAATTAGCTTTCAGTGATTTGTTTTTCTCTTCAGGCTTCTTGACTTCAACAAGTTAAGACAGGTACTCTGATTCCATGGATTTTTCCTGCACTGTGGTTTCCATGTGTGCTTCTTGATTAGCTTGCAGCTCCTGCTGATTGACAGGTATGATGTTTATTTGTGAGCCCTATTTCAGTGGCTTGACTTAGCCCCGAGGCTCTCTACCTGACCTGAAAGGGCCCTGTCTAATCTGAGATAAACACACTTTCTTGTGTGTGATTTGAGAGCTAGAACATTTCAGACTACTGTGAAGGATCCAATGAATGGAGCTACTCATTCTCCAGCTCTACTTTGGTCCTGGGACAAAAAAGCTGTCTAAAGTTTAGGATTCCTGGGGCATCTTTCTCCATCAGTGAGACAAGTATCCATGATGCAGACAACATAGAAATGTCCCTGCACAGCTATGAGATTTTTAGTCATTTTTTGCCTAGAGACAAGATAACATATATAAACAAAGGTAAGGAAGCGTGGCACCAAAATGAGTCAATGTAGTCATTTTGCAAACTCTAATAGAAAGAGTAAAAATTCACAGGTTGAAGGAGTGAGAGATGGTGGGAACAGGGGCTTAAAACTCTACAATTAATCGCTTCCCCAGACCTCAGACCATAGGCAGGCTTTCGGTTACCCTGTAGCAATCACAAAGAACCTTAAGTCTAATCTTCCCCTGCTGTAATGTCAGGTTCCCTCCTGTATAAAACAGTGCTCAAAGGAGGAGATCAAATTTTTATAGCATGTATTAGATCTACACAAACCTTCCCAAGATGAACTCTGTAGCAGTCACCAACTATGGGCAAAACACCAATACTTCTTCTTTAGCCCTTTCAGTGCCTAGTATAGTACTGCCTACACTATGAGTACTCAGCCACTGATATGTAATAACTCTGTTGGTCCCAACGTCTTCTTAGTCCCCATTCTAGAAAAAAAGCTCAGAAGAAATCTGACTGGCAATTTTTTGGTGGGTTGAAAGTTGTTATTTTGTAAACTGGGAAATTATATGCATTCTATCTTGCATTCATTTCCAATGACATACCAGTAGAAGGGGTGTACTATTTAAATATTTATTCCTAAAAAAAAATTCCATAAATTATATTCTTCAGTTTTGGAATATACATGGATGGGCCTCATATAAAAATTTCACTATGGAATATATCTTTCTGCTAAATAACCTACCTTGTAGACATCATGACTGCCAATTATCGCATCAAAGAGTGTGTACAGGTCATTCAGAAGATCCACCACCTCAATGGGCTCACTCATGGCTGAAATAGTTGTAAAGCCCACTATGTCACTGAAGTACAAGGTGACCAGGTCAAAGCCCTCAGGTTCAACTGTGCAGCCCTTTTTGAGAGATTCAGCAACTGATCTGAAAAGCAAACATAGCTATTCCTAAGAGGACACTGGCCTCCCTTCATACCACATACACCTGCTAAAAATACACCACATAAATCTCTAAAAATCATTGCTAATAAATGATGAGGAAGAAAGTGTAACATGGCTTAAAATATTAATTTGCTAATTTATTCTACAAATAAGTATTAAATGCTTACAATGGGTCAGGAACTGTGCCAGGTGCTGGAATACAGAACTGCACAGACCTGGTCTGTGACTTCATGTGGAGTGTTTTAAGCTCTCTATACTTCTAACTTAGCCCCCTGGGGAATGCTCCCAGGTGACTGCCCTTTCATGAAGCTAGTTTCCTCAATTATCTCCTAGAAGATTATGTCATAACATAATAAGGAACGTACCCTGGAAAATTTGGAAATTGCAAACATATAAGGTTTTCAACTAAGAGAGAAAAGACCTGAAAAAACAACCTTGCTACTTTCCTCTAGGAGCTCAAAGATCTGCTTTCTTTTAATTGGTCAACCTCGTAGCAAAGTCACGAAGTGACATACAGAAACACCAAGGCACAAAAACTTAAATGACCAGCATGATCTACAGGTAGTGGAAAATTAGAATGTGTGCTCTTCTCCCTTGGTCTCCAATTCTACTTTGATTTGAAGGTGTGACTCAAGCCCACTAGGAAGAGAGAGGGTACAGGACAAGGGGAGGGAGCAGTTAGTTGGTGGGTAATTTTTTTCTTTTTTTTAAATAGAACACACTGTTATAGAGATTCACACTCCTCAGGTGTTCTCACATACGGTGGTAGCATCTGTGTCAGAAGCTTTTCCGTTTTCTGTTTTTCAATTTCTAGCTCTTCAGTCCGCTCCCGAATCAAATCTTCCAAGTTGCTAGAATATTGCTCCAACATCCGAAGCATAGAGTCAATGATATTCGTCTTCTTCCCTTTATTGAAAGTTTTAAACTGGAAGTAAAATAGAAAAGGAAACCAGAAAATGCTTATTCCTCGAACTCAGAGATGATCGAGCAGGTTCCCTTACCACAAATCCATTTCACTAAGATGGCAGGGCAAGAAAGGTGAACCCAGATAAAAATAGGAAAAGTCACCACCCACTCTCACTGTCACCCTGACCCATATACAGGGCACTGCCACTGCACCCCTGTTCCCACCCCCCCCCCACACCAGTAGTTTTTCCCCTACCCTTCTGGTTCTTTCAAGTCTGAGCAAAGGTGCTCTGAGCAGGCTCCTTCAGTTCTGAGATGCTATCACACGAATAGTAGCCACTTAAACGGCAAAGGATTTGGTATTGAACCTAGGCGAATTGTGTGTGAGGGAAGGGGTAAGAGGGCCAAAAGTGCCATTTTACTCTTCTGGATCATCAGTCTGCTAAATCATCCTTATCCTCAAATGCTACTCTGCTGCCAGTTTTTGAAAAGTGAGAGGTTCCTTGACCTCTTACAGAGGGCTCAAGATCCACATGATAACATCAACCCCTATTTCTTACCATGGAGTCCAAGAATAGTGGTGTCTCCTAGCACCTGTCCTTTGAGTTAGTCTGAGTCATGTAAAATTCAACTGATTTTGCCCCCATTCTATCCCCTGATGCCTTAAAGTTGTCTGCATGTCACAAATTTTCAATATTTCCTTTTAGGACCTTGTCTATCTACAGTAACAGGGAGCCAGGCATAGCATTAGAATCATGAGGGGTAGCCCCTCTGTACTGCTATAGTCAACATGCACATGGCCTTGTTCACAACAACAAAAAATCGGTGGCAGTTTTGCTAACCAGAAATCTAAGACTCTGTCCCAATGAACCTCTTCTGTATAGCTGGTCCACACATGCTCCACCTAGCACCCAATGCCCCAATGCTAACACTAGGAGTTTCCCTTCTGAGCCTGGTTCATATCTGCACATCCACCAAAGTCCTGGGGATTACCTCCTAGCCAGTTTAGATCCTTTGGGCTCCCCCTATTGCCTAACTCAGGGAACCTCCCTCTCCTCCTCCTCCCATTTAAGTTTTATTAACTGCAGGAAGGTAGGAGGGTAGCCTTGTCATCAGACAGTCTAAACTTCCACTGAAGCATTTTAGTGAGGGCAGCTCTAGCAATGTCTTGTTTGAAAGTCTCATGATGTACCCTCCCCCTATCTATCACTGGCTTCTCTGCTGCCTTCTGAAATAACATCTCTAGCATCAACACAGGGGCAAATGCTCTTTCTCCTGCCTCATGGTAAGGTTTTAGAAATTTGACCTTCATGGTCCTTCGCCTTTTCCATACTATTGAACACCTGTTTGAGTGTCCTCAAGAAACTCAGCCAGACTAATGGAGGCATTGTTAGCTGGGGACATGGATGACTTCATATGCAGAGCCCCTCAGGCTTTCAATCCAACTCTTTCTTTCCGCCTCAGATACCTGCCACTCACAAAGCATCTCGGTGCTGTACTCCAGCCAGGCACAAAAGCCTCTCTGCCAGAGCTGACACAGCACTCATGGAGAGTACCCTCAGTTTTGGTGTCCTATAATTTCAAGAAAGCCTAAACTGCATGCTCCAACATTGGAATTGCACCCCAGCTTCTGTAACAGGGCTCACTCCATCCTTTCCTTCACTCCCCTTCCCTCATGAACTCCACTTCCAGTGGAACATTTACTATATACCAGTAATGTGCTGAATGCTTTGCATGCATTATTTCACTGGATTCTCACATACAAACGGGTGAGATAGGCACTCTTATTTTAATTTTACAGCTAGGGAAACTGAGACATAAAGAGAGTAAGTAGCTCCTTTTATGATTCTACCTCTAGGGAAAGAATCACACTCTTTAGAAATTCAGTATCTTAAGGAGAATGGTTATCACTTTTCATGTACCCCATTGCCTGGGAACTTAAGGAATCTCTTGCTTTTGCAAGCCACATTTGCACGTTCTCTTTCTTTCATCTTGAACGCCCTTTCAAACACCCATATTTTTCCTGACCTTTCAAAAACAACCTGAAATTACCTAATTGGTACACTCATCAAAGTTCTCTGGGATCTCGAAAGTAAACATGGCTCTGTGAGGAACCTCAGCTATTCCATGATACCAATCATCTAATAGTTTCAATGTCATTGCCTTAAAAATGCCTGATGATTCAATTCCATCTCTAAAAAGTTGATTAGGCCAGATTGTGGATGGTCTTGCACAGAGATTCAGATGCAGAAGAAAACTAGAGCCAATCTTTGGGCTCTTGGAGGATGTGCTGATGACACTCCAGCATCAAGGGCCTCAAAGTTGCCACTCCCAGGCTGTTTCTTCAAGAGGAATGCCCTTACCTCTTGCAAGAGGTTCATTCCACAATATGACAAGGACCCAAGGAGTTAGCCTTGTGTAGACTGACTTTAGGATGGCTCCTGGACAATAAGATTCAGAGTTTTTACCTGGTTAAATATTTCATCAAAAGTTGGTCGTTGTTCTGCAGCCTCAGCCCAGCACTGCTTCATCAGCTGGAGACATTCTGCAGGGGCATGCTCAGGAGGAACTACTGGTCTGTACACAGGAGGAGGCTTCTTAAGTCTGTTTATGATTTCTGTCCAGATGCAAGAAGAGTGAATTTACAAAACACGAAAAAAAGCACCAAGATTTGGCAAAGGTAACTGACTTTTAGCCAAGAAGGGGGTGGTTAGGACATAACACAGAAGGGCCACCTCCTTTGCTCTCTCTTAGGTGGCCTGAATATAGATTATATTTGAGCAAAAGCTACATCAGGCAATGAGGGAGGGGTGAGAAATTAATCAATTGGATGCTTGGTATTATTTAGGCACAATTTTATTCTGCTTTTGCTAGGTTTTAGATATTGCCTATCTGATATCAATTCTAATGCTGTAACTTCAGTGACCTGGCTCCCCTCACCCATCCACAATCATCTAAGCCTTCCAATCCCCACAATAGACTCACTTAACTCTCCTGACAAAGCCAGGCCCAGCTCAGGTCCAGATCTCTACCTGGTGTCTAGGCAAAGGGAATTAAGAACTGCAGTCAACAGTTCACGGTCTTATCAAGATCCTCCTGGTTGCTGGACCATGAACTCCACTTCCCATGGAACATTTACTATATACCAGTAATGTGCTGAATGCTTTGCATGTATTATTTCACTGGATTCTCACATAAAAACAGGTGAGATAGGCACTCTTATTTTAATTTTATAGCCTGGGAAACTGAGACATGAAGAGAGTTATTTACTTCGTTTACTAGGTCACATGGCTAGTAAGTGACAGAGTTCAAATTTGAACCCAGGCAATCTCAATCTGTTACACTGTCGTGCTTCCAAATGTCTCAGACTTCAAATGGGAATTCTTAGACTTCCTACTTAGACCCAACAGCCATTAGTGGCAAAAGGCCTAGATCAGTCAGACTGACCTTTTTACAAAAAGAAAAACTCCCTGGCAGCAGGAAAAAAAATCGTTATCGCTCAATATCCCCAGCAACACACAAGGGGCCTCAAACTGATCTCTAGGCTTCCAGCCTACCCTTCTCCAAAGCTTTTCTAAAACACAGATCTGGCCCTGTCACTTTCTTACTCAGAAGCCTTTTATGACTCCCCATCACCCTCAGAGTAAAATCCAGGCACTTGCCCCTATCTCTTCAGGCTAATTTCTCATCTTTAGTCCCCTCCCCCACCTCCGATTCTAATCACCACATCAGGAACCAAGCTTTGGTTGCCCCACCAGTATGCCCTTCCCACCCCTGAATTGGCTATAACACTCCAACAGTGCTGCTTTATACCCTAATATGAGCGCCTTGCCTCCATAAAAGAATTTCAGCGGTTGCCTCTGACTTCTCAGCTCCTTGTGACATCACACGTTCTGTTCCTTTAACCCAGGTCAGGCTATAACAGTAATGGTTTCTCCGTTACAGCATCTTGTTCTCAGTACAACGGATTCCATGAGAATGTACTCCCTGAAACTTGACTGCCCCATTCATTCTCTGGCAGATGGAGTCTTTGTCCCTTTCTCAGAACACCATCAAGTTGAATGGGTCACCTCTCTGCTTAGGCACAGCATGATTCATGCCCTTGAGGATCTCACAGTCCAATTGCAATAAACACTGGCAAACAGTATATGTGCTCTAGCTGAGATAGGCACTTGTGAGTATGGAAAAGGCACCTGACTCATACTAAAGAAGTCAGAGAAGGTTTCCCAGAGAAGATGACATGAGTTGGATGAGGCAAGGTTGGGAAGAGGTAGGAAGATTCCAGGTGTTGTGAATAGTATGTGAAAAGGCACAGAGATGGGAGAGACCATGATACTTGCAGGGCCCTGCCAGTCATGTGGTTTAGCTGGGGTATGGAGAGTGACAGAAGATAAACCTCAAGAGGTAGCTAGGGGCCAGAATGTGAATGGCCTTATATTTCATGGGAGGAGTCTCACCTTCATTTAACAAGTGATGAGGAACAGTTGGAGGTCTTTAAATAGAGGAATGATGTAGGACCCTGAGTGGGACAAAGGCTAGCTAAGTGGTTTTAGTTTTTCTTTCTTTTTTTTTTTTCATTTTTAAAATATTTTATCTTGAAATAAATTTAAACTTCAGAAAAGTTGTAAAAATAGTACAATCACCTGTACACCTTCATTCAGATTCCCCTATTGTTAATAACTTACAGAACCATTGTACAAAGGAAATTAACATTTATACGATGATATTACTAGGGTTTTTATTTGAATTTCATCAGTTTTCCCTTAATGTCCTTTTTCTGTTCCACAATCCAGTTCAAGATCCCATATTGCATGTAACTGTTGTGTCTTTGTCTCTTTCAGTCTGTGATAGTTCTTCATTCTTTTCCTGTCTTTCATGACTTGGATACTTTGGATTTATCCTAGCCAGTTATTTTGTAGAATGTCTGTCAGTTGGTGTTTCTCTAAAGTTTTCTCATTATTTTCTCATTATCAGATTGAGGTTATGTATTTTTTCTTTTTTGTCAAGAATAACACTGAGGTGACGTTGTGCCCTTCTTAGTGTATGATGTCAAAGCGTACATGATGTGGATGTGCCGTATTACTGGTAATAACTTTTTTTTTTTAATTTTGCTTTAGGTTCTGAGGTTCATGTGCAGGTTATGCAGGGTTACTGCATAGGTGCATACATAACCAGGTGGTTTGCTGTCTCTATTCCCCCTGCATCTATATCCAGCATTTCTCCCCATGTTATCCCTCCCCACCCTCCCACTGCCCGCTGTCCCTCCCCTAGCCCCATCCAACTGCCTCTGGTATGTGATGCTCCTCTCCCTGAGTTCACATGTTCTCATTGTTCAACACCAGCCTATGAGTGAGAACATGCAGTGTTTGGTTTTATATTCTTGTGTCGGTTTGCTGAGAATGATGGTTTCCAGATTCATCCAAGTCCTTACAAAGGACACGAACTCATCATTTTTTGTGGCTGCATAGTATTCCATGGTGTATATGTGCCACATTTACCCTGTCCAGTCTATCATCAATGGGCATTTGGGTTGGTTCCACATCTTTGCTATTGTAAACAGGGCCGCACTGAACACACGTGCGCATGTGTCTTTATAATAGAACGCTTTATAGTCCTTTGGGTATATACCCAGTAATGGGATTGTGGGGTCAAATGGAATTTCTATTTCTAGATCCTTGAGGAATTGCCACACTGTCTTCCACAATGGTTGAAATAATTTACACTCCCACCAACAGTGTAAAAGTGTTCCTATTTCTCCACATCCTCTCCAGCATCTGTTGTCTTCAGGTTTTTTAATGATTGCCATTCTAACTAGCATGAGATGATACCTTAATGTGGTTTTGATTTGCATTTCTCTAGTGACCAGTGATGATGAGCATTTTTTCATATGTTTATTGGTCTCACATATGTCTTCTTTGGAGAAGTGTCTGTTCATATCCTTCACCCACTTTTGAATGGTTTTTTTTTGTTTTTTGTTTTTTGTTTTTTGTTTTTCTTGTACATCTGTTTTAGTTCTTTGTAGATTCTGGATATCAGCCCTTTGTCAGATGGGTAGATTACAAAAATTTTTTCCCATTCTATTGGTTGCTGGTTCACTCTAATGATTGTTTCTTTTGCTGTACAGAAGCTCTGAAGTTTAATTAGATCCCATTTGTCTATCTTGCCTTCTGTTGCCATTGTTTTTGGTGTTTTAGTCATGAAGTCCTTGCCTATGCCTATGTCCTGGGTGGTTTTGCCTACATTTTCTTCTAGGGTTTTTTATGGTGTTAGGTTTTATGTTTAAATCTTTAATCCATCTGGAGTTAATTTTAGTGTAAGGTGACAGAAAGGGGTCCAGTTTCTGCTTTCTGCACATTGCTAGCCAGTTTTCCCAACACCATTTATTAAACGTGGAGTCCTTTCCCCATTACTTGTTTTTTGTTAGGTTTGTAAAAGATCAGATGGTTGTAGATGTGTGGTGTTGCTTCCGAGGCCTCTGTTCTGTTCCATTGGTCTATGTCTCTGTTTTGGTACCAGTACCATGATGTTTTGATTACTGTAGCCTTGTAGTATAGTCTGAAGCTTGGCAGTGTGATGCCTCTGGCTTTGTTCTTTTTGCTTAGGATTTTTTTGGCTATGTGGGCTCTCTTGTGGTTCCACATGAAGTTTAAAGTGGTTTTTTCAAGTTCTGTGAAGAAGGTCATTGGTAGCTTGATGGGGATAGCATTGAATTTATAAATTACTTAGGGTAATATTGCCATTTTCATGATATTGATTCTTCCTAACCATGAGCATGGAATGTTTTTCCATCTGTTTGTGTCCTCTGTTATTTTCTTGAGCAGTGGTTTGTAGCTCTCCTTGCACAGGTTCTTTACATCCTTTGTTAGTTGTATTCCTAGGTATTTTATTCTCTTTTTAGCAATTGTGTATGGCAGTTCGTTCTTGATTTGGCTCTCTTTAAGTTTGTTATTGGTATATAGGAGTGCTTGTGATTTCTGCACATTGATTTTGTATCCTGAGACTTTGCTGAAGTTGCTTATCAGTTTGAGGAGACTTTGGGCTGAGATGATGGGGTCTTCTAAATATACAATCATGTCATCTGCAAATAGAGACAGTTTGACTTCCTCCTTTCCTAATTGAATAACCTTTATTTCTTTTTCTTGCCTGATTGCTCTGGCTAGAACTTCCAATAGTATATTGAATAGGAGTGGTGAGAGAGGGCATCCTTGTCTCATGCCCGATTTCAAAGGGAATGCTTCCAGCTTTTGCCCGTTCAGTATGATATTGGCTGTATGTTTGTCATAAATAGCTTTTATTATTTTATGATATGTTCTGTTGATACCTAGTTTATTGAGAGTTTTTAGCATGAAGGGCTGTTGAATTTTGTCGAAGGCCTTCTCTGCGTCTATTGAGATAATCATGTGGTTTTTGTCTTTGGTTCTGTTTAAGTGATGGATTACATTTATGGATTTGCATAAATTGAAACAGCCTTGCATCCCAGGATGAAGCCTACTTGATAGTGATGAATAATCTTTTCGATTTGCTGTTACATTCGGTTTGCCAGTATTTTATTGAAGATTTTTGCATCTGTGTTCATCATGGATACTGGCCTGAAGTTTTCTTTTTTAGTTGAGTTTTGATTTTGGTATTAGGATGATATTGGTCTCATAAAATGAGTTAGGGAGGATTCCCTCTTTTTGTATTGTTTGGTATAGTTTCAGAAGGAATGTAACCAGCTCCTCTTTGTATGTCTGGTAGAATTGAGCCTGTGAACCCTTCTGGACCTAGACTTTTTTTGGTTGGTAGGCTATTGATTGCTGCCTCAACTTCAGCCCTTGTTATTGGTCTATTCAGGGTTTCAGCTTCTTCCCGGTTTAGTCTTGGTAGAGTACAAGTGTCCAGAAATTTATCCATTTCTTTCAGATTTACTGGTTGTATGCATAGAATAATTTTTAGTAATCTCTGCTGGTAGTTTGTATTTCTGTGGAATTGGTGGTGATAACCTCTTTATCATTTTTTATTGCATCTATTTGATTATTCTCTCTTTTCTTTTTTATTAATCTGGCTAGCAGTCTGTCTACTTTGTTGATCTTTTCAAAAAACCAGCTCCTGTATTTATTGATTTTTTGAAGGGTTTTTTGTGTCTTTATCTCCTTCAGTTTGGCTCTGATCTTAGTTATGTCTTGTCTTCTGCTAGCTTTTGAGTTATTTGCATCTTGTTTCTCTAGCTCTTTCAATTTTGATGATAGTGTGTTGATTTTAGATCTTTCTTCATTTCTTATGTGGGCATTTATTGCTATAAATTTCCCTCTCGACACTGCTTTAAAGGTGTCCCAGAGATTCTGATAAGTTGTGTCTTCATTCTGATTGGTTTTGAAGAACTTTATTTCTGCCTTCATTTCATTGTTTATCCAGTCGACACTCAGAGGCAAGTTGTTCAATTTCTACATAGTTGTGCGTATTTGAGTGAGTTTCTTAATCCTGAGCTCTAATCTGATTGTGCTGTGAGCTCTTAGACTGTTTGTTATGATTTCCATTCTTTTGCATTTGCTGAGGAGTGATTTGCTTACAATTATGTGGTCAGTTTTACAGGAAGTACAATGTGGTGCTGAGAAGAATGTATATTCTGTGGATTTGGGGTGGAGCATTCTGTATGTGTCTGTTAGGTCCGCTTGGTCCAGCTCTACATTCAAGTCCTAGATGTCCTTGTTAATTTTCTGTCTTGTTGATCTGTCTAATACTGCCAGTGGAGTTTTGAAATCTCCCACATTATTGTGTGGGAGTTTAAATCTCCTTTTAGGTCATTAAGAACTTGCTTTATGTATCTGAAGGCTCATGTGTTGGGTGCATATATATTTAGGATAGTTAGCTCTTCTTGTTGGATTGATCCTTTTACCATTATGTATTGCCCTTCTTTGTCTCTTTTGATCTTTGTTGGTTTGAAGTCCATTTTATCAGAGACTAGGATTGCCACCCCTGCTTTTTTTTGTTGTTGTTCTCCATTTGCTTGGTAAATCTTCTTCCATCCCTTTGAGTTATGTGTGTCTTTGTACATGAGATGGGTTTCCTGAATACAGCACACCAATGGATCTTGACTTTTTATCTAGTTTGCCAGTCTGTGTCATTTGATTGGGGCATTTAGGCTGTTTACATGCAATGTTAATATTGTTATGTGTGAATTTGATCCTACCATTTTGTTACTGGCTGGTTTTCTTGCCCGTTAGTTGACTCGGTTTCTTCATTGTGTTTTTGGTCTTTGCCATTTGGTGTGGTTTTGCAGTGGCTGGTACTTGTTCCTTTCCATGTTTAGTGTTTCTTTCAGGAGCTCTTGTAAGGCAGGTCTGGTGGTGACAAAATTTCTCAGTAATTGCTTGTCCGTAAAGGATTTTATTTGTCCTTCACTTATGAAGCTTGGTTTGGCTGGATATGAGATTCTGGGTTGAAAGTTCTTTTCTTTAAGGATGTTGAATATTGGCCCCCCACTCTCTTCTGGCTTGTAGGGTTTCTGCTGAGAGATCTGCTGTGAGTCTGATTGGCTTCCCTCTGTGGGTGGCCTGACCTTCCTCTCTGGCTGCCCTTAGCATTTTTTCCTTCATTTCAACCCTGATGAATCTGATGATTATGTGCCTTGGGGTTGCTCTTCTTGAGGAATATTTTTGCAGAGTTCTCCGTATTTCTTGGATTTGAATGTTGGACTATCTTGCTAGGCTGGGGAAGTTCTCCTGGATAATATCCTGGAGCATGTTTTCCAACTTGGATTCATTCTCCCCATCACATTCAGGTACACCAATCAAGTGTAGATTAGGTCTTTTCACCCATATTTCTTGGAGGCTTTGTTCATTTCTTTTCAATCTTTTTTCTCTTGTCTTGCCTTCTCTTTTTATTTCATTGAGTTGATCATCAATCT